AGGGAGAGGAGAGAGAGAGAGAGAGAGAGAGAGAGAGAGAGAGAGAGAGAGAGAGAGAGAGAGGTGGAGTGCGCGCGTGTTCTCGTTTGCGTGAATAAATTCTTCCCGCTTCTCTCGGGCGCACAAGTCATCGATCACTGTCGCGCGCACACGAATCATACAGACGTCTGTACCATTTCGTACGTCTCTCTTTCGCGCGCACGTCGAAGAAGACGAGAACACCAATAGATAATAACGATACGGCACGTTGGAATCGATACGAATCGGTTCTTACTTGTTAGTCCCAATGTGATTCGCGCATAATCAGGTCGGCTGTGAATTAATTCCCACACGTTAATTCCACGTTCCCGAATGCAAATAGGTTGACTATGAATACACATACATACATACATATTTATATATGTCTATAGCGTGTCTGACTCGTACCATATCAGAGCTAATATATAGCTAGAATAGGTCGGGGTGAGTAATGGAATCAGTCTCTTTTTTTAAACAACCATGTAAAATTTCGAGTTATTAAATAAAAAAGATGGGCTAATCAGAGCATGCGACACGGTAGGCGGGACATACGGTTTAAGAAAATGAACAATTATAATACTTGCGGACCTCACGTAGTATCAGATTTAAGACGTAGTTCTCATCTCTGGGCCTATAAATGGGTTCGCGAGTAATCGTCCATTTTCTTCGTCTGCCGCGTCGCGCGTTCTTATTATCCTATCTATTTTATTTAATAACTCGAAATTTTACGTGGTTTACGGTGTTTAAAAAATGACACCGATTTCATTATTCACTCCAATCTATTTTAGCTATATATTAGCTTTAGTACGGTACAAATCAGACATTCTGTATATACAGGGTGTCCCGCATAAGACGTGCCAAAAATATAAGTAGAACAGATAAAAGTAAACAAATATTGTAGAGGTTATTTTTCAAACAATCACGTAAAATTTCGAAATATTCATTAAAATAGTTGGACTATTCAGAGCGCGGCGACGCGGCAGGTGGGACATACGGCTCGCCGCTGCCGGCGAAGAAAATGGACGATTGCTCGCGGGCCTATCTCATAGGCCCAGGGATGGTGACTACATCTTAGATCTGACACTGCATGATAGGCCCGCGTCCCACATTCTCCTTGTCACATTAAGTGGGAATGTAGAACAGGTTGAGGTAAACATAAAAATCCTATACCGTTTTGTGATATTCGCAATAATAACCGAGAAATTAATTGTAAAAATTTATGGAAAAACACGCTGAATGGTTGAGGGAGGAGCACTCACGACTCAGTAATATAGTAGGTAAATGTCAGTGCGTGTCTTATATCGCTATAATCCTACGTCTTGTCACACCGCGCCGAGGTAAGATACAGGAGTGCAGCGATATAAGTATAGGCAATAGTACGTTGTTTTTCCAATCACCGCGCCGACATCCGTGCACTATATTATTAGGCTACGAGAGCTCCTCCCTCAACCATTCAGCGTGCGTTTTTCCTTAATCTTTTACAATTAATTTCTCGATTATTATTGCGAATATTGCAAAGTGGTATAAGACTTTAATGTGAGAAGGAGAGTCTGGGACACCCTGCATACACACACATACACACACACACACACACATACACACACGTACACACACGCATATATATATATATATATATATATATATATATATATATTCATGTACTCTATATATGTATTCATGTATTTCTTCCACCCGTAAAGCACTTCGTCGAGAGGCGATCGTTAAACTGATTTTGCTCGAATGTGTTTCAGCTTAACGATTACAGCGTCATGTCCCATGAACTTGCAGTATTTCCCGATGGACCGGCAACTGTGCCAAATCGAGATCGAGAGCTGTAAGTACGCAACACGCGCGTGTACATATCTATATATACATATCTATACATACATAGGTGCATACCAGTGAACGAAATACAATTTCACAGAGTTCGACATTCTCGCCTATGTTACTTCTACTCGACATACTACCAATACAGATACACACATACATATACACACATAACTTGCGCATATTATTATGGAAGTCAAAGAGACTTTACCATGCACTTCGATAATATTATTTCTCAGAATGACAATCGACTCGCCGTATCTTTCTGGCGTCAATCGTCGACGTATACGTGTTAAATGTAATTTTAGAGAAAGAGAACTCTCTCGCTATAAATTCCCGACGAATTCGTAAGCTTGATCATCGCAATTGCAGTGACGGGAGATAAACGTGATACCAATTTCTAAAATACAATCAGTGTATTCTTCATAGAAATGCTATACTTGTAACTAATGGTGCAGTTATAAGTATGGTACTGCAATCAGTAAAATCTCACTGAAAGAATCAGTTAATAGTAACGATTATTCTCATTATTGATACACTTTGCAAATACAAATACAATGTCCTTTTTTAATATTACATCGATAATCAATATAATATTTTCATAATTATTGAAATAAGAGAACCGTTTGCCTATAAAAAAAGGAGCGCCAAGTGCTTTTTATGTAAGTTATTATAATTTTCTTCAACATGAAGGTAAACGTCCTAGTGATTAAACGTGTGATTACCGATAATTGAATTACTAATAATATACTTGTGTTTGTTAAGATGCTTAACAATAAATGAAACAAAATCACAAAGTAACTAAATATTTCTTTTCATTTATTATATTGTTTTGTATATTGAAAAGCATTTCAACAAAGAAAAATACAAAACCAATATGTCAATTATTGGGACATGTATGTTCGACCACTGGGACGTTTATCTTATTGTATTTCTCTAATTATTTTATTTTTTATTTAATAATATGTTACTAATATATTAATAATATATTTAATCTATAAATATATTATATAGCCACATATGTTTATAAAAGTAAAAACTGAAATGATTAATTATTCGTACTTGGTATAAACCTCTTTATATCATTACTTTTGTAGAGAGTGTAAAATTGTCTTGTATTTTTCAATAGAATATTTACGAGAATACAATTGATCTGAATAACGTTGTTTTAATAATATTTTTTAAATATCTTTTAGCTGAGCGCGCTTTTGTTGTAATTTATTTAGAACGATTTTTTATTTTGTAAAGACAAATGCTAACGCTAACAAATGCTAAATGCTAATGCGCGTGCATTTGACTTCTTTTTTATACTTTTTTTAAAAAAGTATCAACATACGCTATTGCGCGCCTTAGCATCGAGTTCCGTACTTGTTAAAAAATACCAGATATTCTTCGAATAGTCTCAAATCCATTTCGTGTCCTTTCTCGCAGATCATCTACATTGTTTACTGGCGTTGAATAGATTTTACTGGCACAATAGATTTTGAATGACCCTAAAAATAAAAATCTAATGGATTGAGATCAGAATATCGTGGTGGCATCACAATTGATGAATATTGTTCGTAAACATTAGACAAGGTCGAGACGTGCTAAGCTGTACAGTAGCGTGTGTTGATGCACGAGGCGAATACTTTGAACATTTTCTTTAATCATTCATAACTTGAAAACTAAGATATGTAGGACATATGACCTTTTTTACTCATTTTAGTGCGTATATTTACCTCTTAAAGTATTGACATGCATTTATGAATCACCCTGTATATAATTACATATGAATACATGTATGGGACTATATAAAGAGATTATATAAAGAGACAAAATTCATATATAAGAGTAATATATATTATATATAATAATTAATTATACTTATATATAATTAATACATATTACTTATATATATTAATTATATATAATTTATACACTGTGAGAGAAAAAATATCTAAAAAATAAAAAATATTTTTTTCTGTGCGTGCTAATAATATTCACTTAAATTCGTTTGTTTAAATAGAATCAACGATTGCTTTCATGAAAAACAACGATTTTAGGAGAATGTATGTTTTCTCTCAGTACAAAAATATTTGTTACATATTAGTACAAATAAATATATGTTATTAGTATCCACTGAGTAAATATTTATTAGATAATCTTTCTCTTTTTCTGCTATATACATATTACTGTATATAATTTTATATAATTATATATATATATATATATATATATATATATATATATATATATATATATATATATATTTCTTCTTGCTCGGAAAGTTATAAACCGATAAATTTTACATATTACTATGATATTTAAATATCGTAAAGTTAAAGAATCTGGGTGAAAGATTTCTATACAAAAACCACTTATTAAGTATAAAGCAGAGCAGTAAATTGGGAGTGTCTCCACTAAAAGTCAATGAATATTGTTTATCGATTAAATATTCCTTTTACTGATTTGATCAGAAATATTTTTACTGATTACACTTTAAGAGAGCGAGAATATACTGTTATATAACCTTGTGCGAGGTCGTAAAGGCGATAATTGTTCGTTTAAAAACAAGAACGATATTGAGATCTTTGAGAAACGACAGGCGTCGATTGTGTTTTTCAAGAGTATCTCGCCATCGAACAATATCGCAGTGTCACGTTTAGCCCGGAATCGCGATTACCACTCGATCGGCCGTATAACGGTTCTCACTGAAGCAGATTGTAAAACGCGAACGATCAATTCCGGTATGTGAACCCGTGCATGTAATTCGAGGATAACGCCGAAAACGATACGCAGAAAGTATCCTTATCGATAGTCGATTGTCGTTGATTCAATGCGATTCAACTGTACATCGCTTTGAAACCTTTTTTCAGATAAACACAGAAAGACGCTTCTACCGTGTATATTTGCGTCGAGCATAAAAACTTCGTATCCCCACCCCCTCTATTACACACTCATACAGAGAATACTATCAACCCTCGCGAACCTATCGCTCTCCATATTTTCCTCCCTCCGTTCCTCCAGACCGCCCTCACAACTGACAGCCTATGCCTCCTTCTCGCTCTCTTTTCCCCGACATCAGGTTTTACTTTCCTTCTTTCTTCTCTATCTTCCCCTCTCTATCTGTCTATCTGTCTGTCTGTCTGTCCGTCACTCGCCACTTCACACGCTCACTCACACGATCAGTCAGCCCACACAAGTGAGAATCACTCCCATTCACCTCGTTCACTCACTCGCTCACCCACCCACCCGCTCTCTCGCTCACAACACTGGTTGGGTTTCTTTTTTTTTTATTCCATACACACGGTGATTGTACGTATGTAACAACATGGACTTGCAAAGTCGGGCATTTATTGCAGCTCCCTTTTTCCATTTTTCTCCCTTTTTTTTTTTGTTTTTTGTTTTCATGAAACAGAAACCGATGAATGAGAGAAACGTGTATGTGACGTTTCGAGCGTCAACATGAACTTCGCGCACCTGACGAATTTCGTCTTTATAAATAAATCTCGCGTATAAAAGTTTTTTTCCGGTTAATGACGCATTCCAAGATCTTTAGATCCGAGGAATGCGAAAAAACCCATTTTCCCATGGTCGACAGTTGTCAATAAACGCCCGATTCTGCGATTGAGCACAGTGTGCGGTCAGTGAGCACCTTAATAAGGAGCTTCGATGCGCCGAGACGATGGCCAGTATCGATGCGCGCACTGTATACGCAAACTGATCTGTCGACGAGACACATCTCGATCAATCGAATCGCTGTGTTAGGTTGTTTAAAGTGTTACACGAGCATACAGAAATCGTAGACTGACCACAAGACTTATAACGCGCCATGGGAACCTCCCAGTGCGCGAAAAAAATCAACACATGCGAAAAGACTACCACATGTTGTGCGTATGTGTGCGTATTTGTGCGCGTGTGCGTGTCCGTGTGCGCGTGTCGATGTGTGTGATAGCGCTAACGTTTCATTGTCACGAGCTCGTGTTGGTTGCCACTGCTGCAAATTGCACGGTGTGTTAATGTGCAAAGGAGAATTCTCGTACGTCTTTTTCTTTACTTCTGTGCCATTTGTGTCCACGTGTGTTTCATATCGCCGGAGTAATTATCGTTACTCACTGCTATCGACATTAGTAATTCATGCATATAACGCATGTAGCGCGTAAATAGTCTGAATAAATTAACGCAACATGGTCACTTCAAATCGGCATTATATTGATTATTACAAAATAAATAATTAGAAATTGCGTATGAACGGTGTCGCATAAGCAAACGCGTTTCTAATGAGGTAAAAGTACCATTGCCTGGATGCGTGCGTAATTATTTCTGGACATACTCTGATCGAAATCTATGTCTTACTAGACACCCAATTAATTACTGCATTTTCATTAATTGTATCAATACTGTGAGGGAAATGGATAAAAACTCGACAGAGTTTTATTTAGTAATTGAAACAGTTTTCTTGATAAAAATATGTACCGTTTGCGTAGGCAACTGCCCACTTATTGTATAGTATCATTGCATTTCATACATGTATCGAAATTGCGCAAAAACTGGAAAGGAACTGAACATAGTTTTATTAAGTTTTATGCCGCACGCACATGTGTGCATGATAAAGATTATACTATATTAAATTATATTAAATTTATTGTTTAGAGACGATCTTAAAACTACATAAAGAATGTGTAGCAAAACATAAAGTAAGGAAGAAGAAGCACGGAATTTAACAAAACAACAACACGTTAAAAAACAACACGAATATTTATAGCAGAAATAACAAGTAAGGTTAAAGTTAAAAGTGAGCAAACGACAAATGGACTGTATATTAATAATATAGAATTGTATTGCGACGAGAACACATCAGTCTATTTTAAAAACGTATTTTAGATTTCCTGTACAATTGTGGACATTAAAGTTGTGCGACTTTTTGTAATAAGCCTTGGTAACGTAACCTAAAGATGATTCAATGAGAGAATAGTTCCTAAGAAATACATTTTTATTGGGTCATTCGGTTATATTCTGAGATTT